GAAGGCGTAAAAAGCATAATTTGGCTACATTTTTTCATCATGAATTGAAAGTTTAATATTAAAATTAATATAGTTCCCAAAGTGATCCACCCTAAATATTTGGTAAAAAGTAGGTGCAGTATGCCAAGTTCGTTAGCGCAAAGTTTCAAGAAATTCTTTCACCAGTAACAATGTAGTAGGACGGCTTATTATAATAATAATTATTATTATGATTTACCAGTTTTTTAATTATTATTTCGCTATGTAGATTTTGCACATTTCGAAGGGTAATGGAAACGCACACAGAGAGTGAGGACGATGTCCGACGTCATTAGCCCCCCCAAAAAAACAGTCTGCTTCGTGACCGTACACTTCGTGACACAGACTCATATTTGAGGCATTGCGCAGATAAGCCTATGGTCGTCGCTGGAGTACATTGGAGAAGCGTCACCAGTTAGTTTTTGAATAGTTTTGAACATTTGTTGCAATCGACAAAATACTATTCCTCTGACAGCTGGCCAATTATCGGAACCGCAAAGAAAACGGACTATAAATCTATAAGAATCGCAGCTTTTCTCATCTTAATCGTACTCCAATGAAAATAAATAATCTTGCACTTGGACCAACCAGTCACCGATTTCATACATACTGCATGAATAATCATGTACACGCGGAACTTCAGATCAGAGTGGAAGTGCGCATCCAACCTAATCCATTAGGATAGAAGGTTAGCGATTGATATTGAAACGCAAAATAAAACCATTCGCCACTGGACGCAAGCACCCATAGCTGGTATCAACAAGACTCAAAACTGTGTCACGAACAGTCTACGGTCACTCTGTTTTCTGGGCTAATAACGTCGGACATCGTTCTCACTCTCCAGGTGCGTTTCTATTACCCTTAGAAATGCGCAAAATCTAAATAGCGAAATAAAAAACCGGTCATGAAAACACTTTCTGATATCATGAAATTTGCTCTCCGATCTGCAATATTAGTCACTGAAGCCAAGGCCTACTACGTAGACTACTGGACTTCTGCAGCGGACCAGCTAGTGTACTGGTAATTTCGAGTATTGTGCAGCATTTATATCGTTATTGTCAGACAAGGTTTTACAATTTTGCCGCACAACTCAGCTGACAGTGACAAGGTCGAATACTTTGCCATTCTCATCGATGCATGAGTACAGCCGAGCTGTGATTGGCTGATGGCACCAGCCGATCTGTGATTGGCTGATGTACGTAATGGTACCAACCAACCTGCAGAAAAAAATTCGCGGCCGGCGGCTGATAATTAGGGAGTGAATCGCTGCCCAGAATTGGCGCATAGTGCATGAAGTGTTGGTCGCGCAGTGCGCGACTGAAGTGAGAATGTAAGTCGCAAAACGTAAATCTTGGTTGCGACCATTTTGGTCGCAGTCTGGAGCGCTGAAAAACAATGGAAAATCATGGTAATAGTGCAAACATTTGGAATGCCTTGAGTTATGTTCTACCTAATAAATCATCCAAACGTTCTATCCATAGTGTAAAAGTGAATGGTCAACTAGTTAATGATCCACTTACTCAGGCAAACGCATTTAATGATTATTTTCAAAACATTGTAAATGAATTAAGGAAAGCTCAAGAACATAGCTTGAATTATGATATTTATATGCCTCTTAAAACCTCATTAGAATTCACATTTCATATAGTTTCTGAAGATGATGTTAGAAAAGTCCTGAACAAAATGCCAGTCCATAAGGCTACTGGAATCGACGATTTACCAGTCAAAATTATCCGCATGGTCATTCCAAGCATTGTTCCGATTCTAACTCACATCATTAATCTGTCTCTAACAACTGGGGCCATAGCCAGTGACTGGAAAGCCGCCAGAATTGTTCCTGTATTTAAAGGTGGTGATCCAACCCACATTGGCAATTATCGCCCTATTTCCATTTTACCTATTTTGTCTAAAGTGCTTGAGACACTCGTTAATGATCAGGTCCTGAAATTCCTCTCTGATAATTCAATTCTGTCGACACAGCAATCTGGGTTTAGGCAAGGTCACTCAACTGCGATGGCTTTACTTAATCTTACTGATGATCTTTTGTACAACATGGACCAAGGGTTGGTGACTGCTTTTATTACACTTGATCTAAAGAAAGCCTTCGATACCGTAGACCATAGTATCCTTATTTCTAAATTACGCTGGTATGGCTTCAATGAAGTAAGTGTCTCATGGTTCACAAACTATTTGTGTGGCAGATCTCAGGCCATGGTAGTGAACGGGTAAATGGCTCCTCCAATTGAAGTGAAACATAGCGTCCCCCAGGGATCGATACTTGGACCCACATTGTTTCTGGTTTTCATAAATGATATTGTTAATACCATTAAACATTGTAAAATATCATTATATGCTGATGACACGTGTCTTTATTTCTCGTCAAGTAAGCCAACTGAATTTGTTTTTGTCAATGACGATCTAAAAAGAGTGTCCTCCTGGTTATCAGCAAATCGTTTGATACTAAATGCAGCAAAATCAGAATTCATGCTTATTGGCTCTAGTCAACGTTTGAAACAATTTTATACTCATCCCTTGACCTTCTACATTAATGGTAAGTCACTTAAAGAGGTGAATAGTTGTAAATACCTAGGTGTCATTCTGGATCCTTGTCTGACGTGGAAACCTCATATTGAGTATGTAAACTGTAAAATTAGTCGAAACTTATTCTTTCTACGAAAACTGAGGTCATTTGTTGATATAAGTACAGCAAAGGTACTTTATCATAACTAATCCAATCCCAGCTTGATTATTGTTCAGTCGTATGGAGCAATGCAACTCTCACCCACTTTCGTGAACTACAAGTCTCACAGAACAGGGCAGTGAGAATTGTTCTTCAATCCGATTTCGATAAAAGAACTCATGAATTATATGAAGAATCAAATATAAAACCCTTAGATATTCAATGGAAAATAGCTAAATTGATCATGCTTTTTAAAGTTTTGCACACAGGTGTTCCACTAAATATAAACTCTAGACTTCAAACTTGACATAGTACCTATAACTTTAGAAATCATAAAAGTAAATTAAGCCTTCCCAAACCAAAAACGGGATTCATGAAACACAGCTTTTCTTATTCTAGTTCACTTTTATCTAATAATTTATCTGAAGAAATTCATAAAAGCCAAAACTTAAGTAGTTTCACTAATGAAGTTAAACGGGTAATGACATTACCCGTTTAGCATAATGCCCAAACCCATTACCCTATCATTCTGTATTTTAAGTTACCTCTGATTAATCCTTGTGTTCTGTTGTTTTCTCTTTCCTTTTATTGAATCTGATCATCTAAAACCATGTTCACCTGCATATATGTACACATTTTTTTTCCCCCCCTCTCTTTCTTTGTTGGTATGTTGACGTATGTGTGTTTTAACTATGTAATGAGGACCCCTTTGATCATCAGCTGTGCTGAAAGGGCTATCCACCCCATGAGCGGAAATAAATAAAAATAAAAAGTAACCGAACAGCGTACAGAAGGGTGAGACGAGCGAGGTAGTCAGACAAGCGAATCAAAGTCAAAGACCGGGAATCTACCAAACAACCAGATAGAAGGGCAAAGGCAAAAATCAAAGTCAAAATGCAACAAGCAAAGGGTCAACCACAGGAATCCAAACGAACCAAACACAGGGCAAGGCAAGAATCGTAGTTTAAAAACAAACCGGTCCAACACAGAAGACAACAAGATACTCACAGTACAGGAACGCTAATTGCAAAAGGTCGAAGAGCTAGTCTCCAACAGGAGTGCAAGCGGCGACCTTATAAAAGCACCGCCCCGCCCCCGGCAGTGGAAACATTCAATTAAGGCCCAGGCAAAACGAATACTAGGGCAGAGGTCATAGCCGAACCTTTTTGTGGTCAACGCAGAGGCTAAAAAAATTCAAAACACAAAAGCCACAATAAATTTTGGTTTCCCCACTTATATTTTAGCAAATCGCGATGCACTTCGTTGATTAAGTTTCTTGAAAATGACGGCATCATCTAAAACGCACTCACGTCGCATCAGTTCTAATAGGGAGACCTATGCAGACGCACCCGGTCTTGGAGGGTTAAACCTGGCCGCAGTGCATGAAATGGGGACATTTTTTTCACCCACTGGCTAAAGCTCTGGGGTGCTTCAAAACGGGATCAAATTGGAGAAGATTTCAGTTTCATTAGATGCAGGATGTGATGAGAACGAAGAGAGGCAACAGAAGCTGTGAGGAGGATGGCATTCGTCTGCACATCTGCTGCGGCCGATCCGTGCATTCACACATTTTACACAACCAACATCAAGCCTTACAGAGAAGACAATAAAAGTGGCATTTTTAACCCACCACGTCGAGGTTTCAGAGACATTCTGACGACTATTAGGGTATTTGCCACCTTCCCCCCCATATTTCCTTCTGGTAATCAATAGCAGCACCACTGAGGGCCAATAACTAGCACTGTGTAATTTCAGTAAAGTAAAACTGTATCACTCTGTGATGGTATATTCGGCTGCAGTACAGGCTATGGCAGGTCTGTGGGGCTACACCATCTTGTAGTGTGGATACAGCCTCTTAGGATGAAGGTTAATGTAGAACTAAGTAAAACTGGCCTACTTTGATTCTGGCAGATCAGACTGACCCTACAATTTTAAATGGCCACAGAAAATTTTCTCTACCTACCTTTCAAATTAAAAAAGGATGGATGACCAAAAACTGGACACCGAAGAACAATCAAAACTAGACACTCTTTATATTTGATTAGATTAGATAGATTACATACACTTTATTGAACCCCGTGGGGTAATTTGTCCTCTGCATTTGACCCATCCTATAGAGAGGAGCAGTGGGCAGCTACAGAGCAGCGCCTGGGGACCAACTCCAGCTCTGAAGCTAGTTCCTTGGTCAGGGGTACTGACAGGAGTGTTCCTGTAATGCATGTTTTTGTGGGTGGGGGAAACCGGAGTACCCGGAGGATACCCACACTAACACGGGGAGAACATGCAAACTCCATGGAATCCCTGGCCAGCTGGGACTCGAACCTGGAACCTCCACATTGTGAGGCCGCAGCGCTAACCACTGTGCCACCATGCCGCTTTACGATAACTTATCAACAACTGCAAAGTAGTGAATAGTGAGCTAAATGAAGAAAAATATGTAGCTGTCCGAAACATTATCTAGCTGCCTGTATGTTGCAAACCAGTAGCCTCTAGGCTGCAGAATGTTTCACAAAATACACAACTAGGTCATGCAGGTTAGTGGTCAAATCCACAGGCCATAGAGGAATTCTGTGAAAATATTTTTTACTCTTCGACTATTGTACAGTAAGCTAAACTTTGCCAGAGAGAAACCCCTTTAACAAAAACATTTATTTTACCAGTATTTTACGTAGCAGTTTACGCAGGACAAGTACAAAGAAATAAAGTTATATTAATCTGGACCTTCAGTACAACTAGGGCCTATGAAATCAAAGGGCAATACGGCGTCTGGCACAAACAGCCTGTTCTGCTCGGTTGTCTGTGCTTCTCCTTTCTGATGATAAATAATTCCCCCTCAGCTACAATATGACTGCCAATTAAATAAAACAAACTTATTATTTTTGTTATCGGCATGTGGTTTCAACAGGCTGACTATAAGATGTTTTCCTTATAGTCTGGGGAGGTTCCCAGTTTGTGCTCAAGAAGGTCTGCGCAACTACATGTCCCCAAACACACAATCAGAACAGATTTTATGTGGCCCACGACTCCGCGTACACAGCGAGGCACTGTAAGGATGGACCTGCTCGCATATGACCGCCAAACTCTTCCAAGTCACTTTTATAATTCTTTTTAAGAATTTTTTGCACAAAAAACGAACAAGGTTTTTGGGAAGAGCCGTCAAATGCTTGCTGTTTATTTCGATGCAGTGAAGAATGTCAAACGCGTCCTTTTGCCGCCAGATAGTAAAATTGGGGGCAATTTTCTGCTCAACAAAACTACCAGTAGATCATGTGAATGTGTTCTTCTAAAGCTTAAGTTTGTCAGTGCACGTTTGTGAAGGCGATACCGGTTTGCTGGACGTTCTCCTGGCTCCACTGTGCAGAGACGGCATCTCCTCGGTCATAGAGGCCAGCTGCTGTCTTTGTGTGGCAAACCTGAGAGAAAGGAACCAGAGGAGGGAGGAGATGAGATGTGAGGATGACAGAAAGAGAGAGGGAGAGAGATGACAAAGAGGGGAGGGGAGAACAGAGAGCAAAGATGGCAGAGTCTGGCAGGATAAAACCAAGATGGATTTCTCCCTCAAATTCACCGAAATTTTGAAGACTTCATCAAAAGAATTACGAGCTGACAGGCACAGACAGCCTGCTCTACAGAAGAGCACGCCACTTACAAGCGCGTGTAACAGTGCCGTACATCAAGCCAGTTAGAAAGAGGCAGAAATTGCACAGATAAAATCAAAACAGTGCTGGGCATTTGATAACTGAAATTGCATCTGGAAACAGCATCTCTGTCTTTTACAGCCGCTGATATATTATCTCTGTGAGCAGCCCACCTGCCCAGAGGCAGGAAATGCAGCATCATCCTGTGCTTGTACAGATCGCGGTGGAGCTCCTGGAAGTGCTTGTACTTCCTCTTCACTGTCCAGGTGAACTGGCCGTGGGTGAGTCGAATTGTGTACAGAGTGCACGCTCGTACCTGAAACACAGGCGGAGCGAAACTAAAACAAACGTATATCTGAATCCTGATTCAAGCCCAACAGGGCCTGAGCGCGTGCAGCAATTTCATTGTGTCATGCCGTTTTTTTTTTTTTTCAGGTGAAGCAAAAAAACTAATTAACATCACTTTTCCCTCCAATGCTAGCAGGCATGCCCGTCCTGATCATAATGAACAGTATAACTATTCTTTTGTGGCACAAACATCATGCTGACACATATTGAAAGACTGAGGAAGTCATCCCTGCACTGTTCAGGGCTAAATGACAAGCAACCAAGTAATTACGTTTAATCACGAAAAAAAACATGTTTTTAATAAACCAGACAGCTCAAATAAGGCTGTTCTAATTTGCTAGTTCAGTATGGTGCCCTACAAAAACTAAAAGCTTTGCTCTGAGCCACTGTTGTCAATCAGAGTAAACAGCTGGGAGAAATTTGCCATTGGCTTTTTTTATTTCAGCTGTTGTGCTCAATGGGATCTGGGCTTCAGATGAAGGCTGAGCTTGCTGGGTTGGTTCGTACCAGGCTGGGCTGCAGGTACACAAGGCACAGGCAGGCTTGAGAATGTGTCATTTCAAGGAGCTGTGCCACGATTACTGCACATGCTCACAACTCTGAACAAAGTAAATCCACTCAACTGTAAGTCAAAATCTAGAAGGTATTTTTCTTCTTCTATGATTATTGACAATTGCAACCAGCTTACATTCTTTGTATCCCCTGGCTAAAGCTCACAATAGTGCTTTGAATCCTCAAATTTCCATTGAGAGCTCCTTAATATAAAAAGCATAATGCCAGGGTAACTACAATATGTACAGCGCCCTCCATAATTATTGGCACCCCTGGTTAAGATGTGTTAAAAGCCTTAAAATAAATTCAATTTTTATTGCAGAAGCATACTCTCACACTGAAAATTGTAGAAAAATGTAACCTTCAACTCAAGTGAATTTTAAGGGGAAAAAAATCCCTGACTAAGAAATCATTATTTTTCATAAAATCACCTGTTCCACAATTATTGGCACCCCTAACAATTCCTAGGAAATAAATGTAATTGAAGTATTTCTGTCATTTCTACAGTAGTTTACAAAGTTGATCAGAGTATCTAGGAACATTTAATTAGTAATTCATCGCTTCCTGTTTCCCTGGGGTATAAATATGACGTGACACAGAGGCCATTTCACTTATCCACTCTTCAACATGGGAAAGACAAAGGAACACACCATTCAAGTAAGGCAGATGTGTGTCGACCTTCACAAGTCAGGCAATGGCTACAAGAAAATAGCCACTTGCCTGCACCTGCCCATATCTACTGTCAGAGGAATCATTAAGAAGTTTAAAACAACTGGAACAGTGGTAAACAAGCCTGGACGAGGACGCCTTAAGGTTATTTTGCCACCACACACAGTGAGGAGGATGGTAAGAGAAATAAAAAAGTTCTCCAAAGCTCACTGTTAAAGAATTGCAACAAATGGTAGCATCTTGGGGTCACAAAGTCTCCAAAACAACCATCAGGCGCTATCTACATGCCAACAAGCTGTTTGGGAGGCATGTCACGGAAAAACCTTTTCTCACTCACAATCATAAACGCAAACGTCTGGAGTTCGCTAAGCGGTACTGGGACTTCAACTGGGACCGTGTGCTTTGGTCAGATAAGACCAAGATAGAGCTTTTTGGCAACAAACACTCTAAGTGGGTCTGGCGGAACACAAAAGATGAGTATGCAGAAAAGCACCTCATGCCCACTGTGAAGTATGGGGGAGGATCGGTGATGCTGTGGGCCTGTTTCTCTTCCAGAGGCCCTGGGAACCTTGTTAGGGTGCATGGCATCATGAACGCTTTGAAATACCAGGACATTTTAAATCAAAATCTGGTGGCCTCTGCCCGAAAGCTGAAGATGGGTCGTCACTGGGTCTTTCAGCAAGATAATGACCCTAAACATGTGGCCAAATCTACACAGAAATGGTTCATCAGACACAGAATCAAGCTCCTCCCATGGCCATCTCAGTCCCCAGACCTCAACCCCATTGAAAACCTGTGGAGTGAGCTGAAGAGGAGAGTGCAGAGGAGAGGTCCCAGGTTGCTGGATGATTTAGAGAGATTGTGCAAAGAGGAATGGTCGAAGATCCCTCTTTCTGTATTCTCCCATCTTGTGAAACATTATAGAAGAAGATTAGGCGCTGTTTTGTAGGCAAAAGGGGGTTGTACAAAGTATTAACATCAGGGGTGCTAATAATTGTGGCACACATGATTTGATGTAAAAGAATTATTTCTTAATGTGGGATTTTTTTCCCACTGAATAAATGCACTTGAATTAAAGGTTGGATTTTCCTCTTTTTGTCATTGTGGTCCTATATTATTCAGAAAAAAACTGAATTTATTAGAAGCTAAAGAACACATCTTAACCAGGGGTGCCAATAATTATGGAGGGCAGTGTAAATACAATGCTAAACAAAGACAGATTGACAAAGAAGGAATCAGATTGTGATTTCTAGTCAAGCAGATTCACTTTCTTAGGATGCAGGTTCTGAGCATGTGCAGTGATCGTGACACAGATCCTTTAAGAGGGACCACAAGCCCCTGTCCCTGCCCCAGTACTGACCTTAGAGCGCGTGGCATATCTCTCAGTGCTCTCCACCCGGCAGCTCACTACTGCTCCCTGCAGGAACAGCGGCAGGCCCCACTCCTTCGCAGCATGTAAGCGGTGGACGAGCATGAAGGGACGCTCCTCTAGAAAAGGGCAAGAGGGCAATTTAATAAACTAGACATTCCGGTCGCTCAACCGCATGGGTGAAGCCCCCGAAAGCCCGCTTCCCCAGCCTGTACTGCGTCCACAAGGAAATCTCTGTGTTTCAGCACAAATTTGCTCATTATTCGACCAATACTGTCTCCATGGCAACCAAAATCGATATGTGTCATAACTTAAGTATAACACATGTCCATACCAAGTATGAAAGTTATCGGTCAAAAATTACAGCCTGTACAGCGTCCACAAGGAAGTGTCTACGGATGCGGACGCGGCAGCAGAGAGGACAAGCATGAATCCATAGTATCTGCCCGACTTCGGGGGCTACAAAATAAATAAATAAATAAATAAATAAAACAGGTCCACCCACTATAACATTTAGCTTCATTCAAAGGATCAGTTACAATTCTATCAGAAAAATACAAACCATAATATTTCCAGCGCCACCAAAAACCACATATTCAGGTGAAGCACGTCATTGATAGTGGAGTGATCTATATTTGAAGACAGTGGTTACTAAAATCGTTCAGTGTGAAGCACCTATGGAACGCCCCTTCAGTTACTGCAGATGTCACTGTCGATTCCCATACATATCATTCCACAACCAAAGCTGTATTAAGTCAGGTCCATAAGTACGGATGGCAACACAATTCTCACCATTTT